GATACAATTGAGTTACAGCCAATTGTACTATTATATCTTACATTATTTACATGGTGCACAACAAAAAGAAAGGTCTGTAAATTACCTCTATTAAGTTATTTATGGGCAAACTTGGTATCAATTGAAAGGAAATTCTTTTTACAATACATTTTTGATATATTCTTAGTTTTGATAAGGTACCACTGTCACAACTTTCAGAAGCCATATCTCTAATTGATAATTCCCCACAGATAGCCTGGTTTTCTAATATCGGGTCACAATTTACAAATAATTAAACAAATATTTTGTGTATACTATTACTTTTCTATATATTCATCATTACTGTTTTGGGGCAGGTAATTTTGAAAATAAAGCTTTAGACGTCAAACAGAATTTAGGCCAAAATAATCATTTTTGAAGAATTTAGAGGCAGTTTACCTGCCAGTCCATTACCAATTAAGATGAATATAGAAAATGCTGACATAATTAGAACACGTGGTGAGATAATTTTTGTGACAAATAATTAGACTACTTTAGATACTATTTCTCACAAATAATTATTTTATTTTTGACTTTAGACTATCAAATTTATTGAGAAATTACGGTAGTACATGCAGGGCTGCCAATAGGAGGGGGGCAGGTACATGTAGGGTATATACCTGGCCCCTAATCAAAGGGGGCCCTAAGCCCATGGTCAATAGTATAGTACTGTATAATTTATGACAGAAAAAGGTCAATGAATCATGGCAACTCCTTTAAGTTAACTCTTGCTGGGCCATTTTCTCAGTCAGTACTGCATTATGTATTGGAAAATGTACATGTACAAGTAGAGGCCCCACGTAGCCTATTAGCGGTCCTGTGTACATGTATTATGTGTGAATTACTATTATTATTAAATTTTCCTTCAATTTAATCAAAAGCATTGACAGTTTGACCTTTGACTCATGCAGTAGAACGGTGTACAGTATACATAAATGTTCATGTACATTTCATGCATATACATGAAATATACGTAATAGATGGAACATGGCTTCGAGTGGCTTATCAGATATACACCGAAAATGATATTCATAATCCCGAGGGCGTAGCCCAAGGGATTATGAATATCATTTGAGGTGTATATCCGATAAACCATGAAGAAGCCATGTTCCATATTTTTTGTACTCATTGGAAGGCATAATGATGAATATTTAGGCTTACCTGTCGCCATAACATTGCTAGAAATCGTCCAGTAGTAGCAAAAATTATAAAAATACTTTTTCAAGCGGCGATGCCATTTTAATAGCCTTGCACATGGTCAGCTTGTCAGTTTACACAAGGGCAATTCTTAATGATATTCATTGCTCTGGCAGGAAGTTTACATCATACTTTCTCCAATTTGAGACCCACAATAGCCTGATACAAAAGTCTGGCTTATATAAGCTCAGCTTGATTTTAAGGTTTTGAAGGGAGAGATTCCTTCAGGGGACTTTTCCTGATTTTTTACCCGTGGAGTCGTGGACCTTTCAGGACAAAATTGTCCTGAGCAAAAGGTCAAAGTTCATGGGATCCCCTCTTTCCCTGGTGTATGAGGGAAAGTCAGTGGTGTATGAGGAATTTCACTGGTGTATCATATATATACCACTGCGTGGCACTTTCATCTTATGGCTTCCTATGGTACAAATGTACATGTACTTGTTAATTGTAGGAATGGCTGAATTGTTTTACACT